TATTTCTTTTGGACCACGCTTTTGGTCATCTTTCCTCTCTCCCACCCCTCCACTCCCCAACCACACTCTCCTCAGATCCTTGCACCCCTGGCTCCCTTTCAGCTCTATGAAGTGTTTTGAGACATCTTCCTGACGTGAAAGGGAGTATATAAACAAAGTGATAAATCATCAGAGTTGACAAGCATAAGAGTGCTAGATGCATTTTAATACATCTCATTGCAGGCCCCAGTTCTTCTGCCAGATTACAGCTGCTCTGGTTACAGCATTCAAGGTCTAGACTCACACTTGATGAAGAAATGGTTGCCCGTACAGATAGCAGATAGAGTTCCAGTATAACTCTACCTCTACCGTTTCACCCACAAAATATACAGTCAATTCACTTTACAGTATATGCTGTGAAGCGCTTCGAGAAGTTTCAAAGACGTGATAAGATGATATATCAAAGGCAAGGACTATTATTTTATTATTACCTCGACTTGAGTCAGTGTCTTCAGGATGGGAAGGGAGAAAATTCAAGAGGAGAGGGAAGGAATATATGAAAATGCACCATAGAAATTTGCTCCTCTGTGGTAAACGGGATTTTATTATATTAGTTCAGATTTGCATTAAACACAATGTCCTTTGTGTGTAAATTTGCAAATTTAAAATGTAACCATTTATCAATACTCAGAGGTTAATCCATGACTGGAGTAGCTTTCCAGCAGCCAGGGCACTGAACTCATTTAAAAAGAGCCACAACAATTTGAATTTATACAGTGCCTCTCACGCAGGATAGTGTCACAGAGAGCTTGAAGCTTGAACATGGTAGAGTGGGTGTTCTGGAAGGATGAAATTAATTGCTTTCTTCATCGAAAACAATCCTGCGAACTTTTTTACTTCCCTCGACTGCAAATTAGTTATATAATGATTCTTGCATTCATTGCACCTTTCGCACTAAGGGGACTTTTCAATTTGCTTCACTTGTACTTATAATGACTGAATTTGTAGGCGGACGCCACAGCCCATCTGCACGCAGGAAAGCAATTGAACAATTTTGTCCTGGGGAATTGTTGGCCAGGACAATGAGAGAACCCCAATTCTCTTTTCGAATAGGGCCACAGGATCTTTAATATCTATCTTTAATATCCATCACCTTAATGTCTCATATGAACGACAGCACCTCCGACAATGCAGTGGTACCCCAGCCCTGCAATGGTGTGTCAGAGGAGTTTATGAGTTCAAAGTGTCAATATGGGGCTTGAACCCACAACCTTCTGACTCAGAAGTGAGGGTGTTACCAACCGAGCCAGGCTGACACCGTTGTATAATACGCCTTCTGTGAGATATGCGAGTATTGTTCCCTTTGTTTGCAATCGCTGTCCTTGCAGCATTTGCAATTCATTCTGAACTGCAGAGTCTAAATTTAACATGACACAAGTGTAAATATCAATGTCACGCCTACACATCTCTGTGTGTACAGAAGTGCCAGTAGATTGACAGAGTGGTTTCTTTTGAATCAACACAACTGGAGATATCTGAATCCAGATGAAAGAACTTTGGTTGAAACATTGGAGAGAGATTGTTGCTAAATCAGGCAAATTATGCAGAAGCCTAGAAATTCCACCACATGCGTCACAACCAAAAGAAAAGTTCTGTTTATTTAGAATACGAACTGAGTCAGTGGAGTACTGCTTTCAATTCTGTATCCAAAATAAGCAATTGTGCGTAACTTTCCCATCATCTCACAGCATGACTGCGTCTGCAAGCATTTGAACTGATTTAACTATCGTGCTTTGTCCTTGTTTTCTCTTTCCTAAGATGTTTGCTTCAACAACGTTTTCTCTTGATATTCGACAGACCTGGGAATTCTCCCCTCTGGCAGTCTGTGTGTTATGTCCTCTTTTTAGCTTCCTTAAACAGAAGCCACCGGACTAATGTGCTGCTTTGGAGCAGAGTAAAACAAGGTTTAAAGCTTTTTTAAAAAAACATTTTTTTTCCCTAAAGCATACAATCTATTAAAGACATCAAAACATTAAATCTCATGAGCTTTCTGCTCTAACTCATTCCTCCCAGGCCTCTTGTCTTCTTTGTTGGTCCTCCCTCGCACAATCGCCCAGCTGGGTTTTAAAACCCAAGCTCAGGTCACTGAACCACTTCTTGGCTTATCAGCTTCCTCTGTTATTCTGTTCGCACTCATTCGCGCCCACATCACCCCAGTCCCCGTCCAGCTCCACTGGTTCCCTGTCTCCTAACTCATCGGCTTCAAGGACCTCTCCTTTAAGGAATCCGGTTTCGCTTCTCTGGGTGAGAGGTACTATATAAATGCAAGTTGTTGTTGTTGCTTAAAATCCCTTTACAATTTGCCAGCAGTACTTTTTACATCAGTATCGAAAAAGGAGTAAACTACAGGGGTATGGGGGAAAAGTGAGGTAAACGAGACTGGAAGGATCGCTCTGAGAAGAGCCAGCACAGACGCGATGAGCTGAGTGAACTTCTTCCGTGCTGTAAATTTCTATGGTTCTACGTCCCCAAAACTCACTGGCAATTCATCCTGCGATTGACCAACAAAAGAAAAGCTGTTGGAAGCTTGTTATATTAATAATAATAATCCTTGCATTTGATATAGCGCTTTTCACGTCGGGAGGACGTCCCAAAGCGCTTCACAGAACACACTGTAAAGTGAATTGACTGTATATTTGTGGACGAACGCGGCAGCCAATTGCGCGCAGCAATGTCCCACAAACAGTCGTAGATTGAAAATGACCAGTTTTATATTTTATTTTTTTTTTTTTTTGAATTATTATTAGGCGTGTGGAGTAAGGAAACTTGCCCAAGGTTTCGCCCTCTGCCTGGAATTGAACTCAGGTCTCTCGCTTGCAAAGCGAGTGCTCTAACCATTGAGCTACAGGATTCCCATTGTCTGATTTATCCGGGTTTGACAGTAAGACAGGATTTACTGGACTTGAGTTTCTGTGTGGTAAGTGATATACTAATAAAAACGCAATCATATCAGCCAGGCGATGGCAATCACACAGATGCTAAGACTCATCGACCTTTATCCCCTTATAATCCACAAATGTTTCGTCATTTAAGCATTAATCATATAATAGTACAGCACAGAAGGAGGCCATTCAGCTCATCATGTCTGTGCCAGCTCTTTGAAAAGAGCTATCCAAATCAATCCCACTCCCCCGCTCTCTCTCCCCATAGCCCTGCAAACTTGTCCTCCCCAAATAATTATTTACTTCTCTCTTAAAAGTTGTTATCGAATCGGCTTACACCATGCGTTCAGGCACCCTTAACAGGACTTTATTGTGGGATGCTAATTCAAAGTGCAACAAAGTGGTAGATGTATACATTTTTGGTCAGAATCTATGACCAAAATGTTATATGCTGCATATTTCCATTGTTTATATGTTGTACATATATACAACACAACAGTGAGAGAGAGGAAGGCGGATGAGAAAATTGAAAATGTTAACAATGTCAGCCTCAGTCTTGTGGTAGTTTGTTTTAACAGTTATAAGAATCCTTACATTTCATATAAGACTGTTCACATCAGGAAGACGTCTCAAAGCGCTGTAAAATGTTGTGATTGTATAACTTGTAGGCAAATGCAGCGGCTAATTCGTGCACAGTGATATCCTGTTAACAGCCATGGAGTGTGTGACCAATTTTAGTTGGGGGATTGTTGGTCAGGACACCAGGAGAAATTCCCCTTTTTTTTGAACAGTGCCAAAGGAACTTTAACATCCACCCGAACAGGCAGATGGGGCATTGAGATTTAACATCTCATCTGAAGGACGGCACCTCCAACAGCGTAAGCAATGCTCCACCACCATTGTACTGCTGTCTCAGCCTAAAGACTTTGAGTTCAAGGTGGGTTGTGAACCTACAACCTTTCGACTCAGAGTGCTGCCAAATGAGCCAGGCTGACACTTAGTTTTCTTTCAAGATGAGATGTGAAGCACATCACTTCTACATTTTTGCCCAGAATGTATATTATGTATTGATTTAACGGAATGAATTGAATATTGAGAATAGTTTCCAATGGATATATTTTGCACTAACCTTGAACTATGAGGGGTGGGAGGTGAACTTTTTTTCCATCCAAAGCTAGGGGTGTTTAAGCGTTAAACTGTTCATGACACACGCTAAAGGCTCAGATGTTAGCAACTGCTGAAAGCAGCAAAGTGTGTTCATGTGGTTTATAAACACCAGGTCATGATGGAAGTGATAATTAATAATATGACTGCAAAACCACATCTCAAATAGCAAAACATTGGGAATCAAAGTGGAACAGCACTGCTATTCTGCAACAGCTCATGGGTTTGGAGACTTCTACTTTAAATAAGTACAGACAGATAAAAGCAGCCACACCGATAAAAATGGTAATTACTTTGTGGCTGTTTGCTTTGTGCTTTGTGCCTTGCCTCCTTCAAGACCCATCTCAAGACCCACCTCTTCGACCGTGCCTTCAGTCATCCTCCTGGCTCTACCCTCCCCACCCCTCCTGATCCCAACTACCAGCTCGGGTGTGGATCCCTGACTGTCCAATGCCTTGGGACGTCCTCCTCACGTGAAAGGCATATACAAATGTAGTTTGCTGTTGTTGTTGTTGTTGTTGTTGTTTGTGGGACATTGGCTGCCTCATTCGCTTACAAATGTGCAGTCACTACACTTCGCAGTAACTTACTCAGAGAAGTCTTGACTCGCTAAGGTGTTCAATGAAATGCAAGAATTGTTATTTCTGTTAGAAACGTTCATTTTAAAATCGACTGATTCCAAAGCGGGAATGGTATCAGAAAAGTGTTTTGTATGTGTGTGTGTGTTTGTGTGCAAATGTGTTTTTAAGAGTACATGAATACAGCGCTAGTAAAGGATTTGATTTGATCAAACTTGGATCAAAAATATTGTGACATCCCAAAATTAGATGAATGGGTTACACCAAATGTTGTTTTGTCCTGTGCATTTAACGTGACCTTTTACTTCACCTTCTCAGCTCGCCTGTGAAGTGGGGTGATGAAAGTGCGTGGGCCTGGTGTGTAGGTTGTGTGGGAGGAAACAGCACAGAACAGCAAGAAGAATATCTGCTGATAAGCAGCTTCCTGAGCACTCAGGAAAATGCAGCGAACATTTTAGGCAGAGAGCTTCAGCAGAGAATACGAGCGAGCACAAGCACAAACCCCTCCACTGAATTTTGCTGGCTTTTTACTATAGGTGAGTGAAAGAACTGGGAAGAAACGGGTTTACAACCCAGAGGCTAGAGACTCAGCTCTGCCTTGAATGGGTTTGAACTTGACAAATTGTGTGGTTGAACTGGTTTTCAAAGTCCAATTTGGCTGAAACTGCCAGCACATTCCATCTGGAGTATATCAACAGCATTGTGAAAGTGTTTAAATACATGCCTGTTCCTGCCTTCTACTCTCTACCTCATTCTACTATTGAGCCTCTGCACTAGAAGTTGCAAACTTCATACAAACTGTCTGATGCTTCTGTGCCATTGTAATCTTGCCCTTGGTGCATTTCAGATGTATTTCCATCAACGGTAAGTACTTTTATTTCCCTATCACCCCTCTCAAGTCGGTTGCACCTAAACTTGGAAGTTGCTAAAATGAAACCGTGCATTGACCACACTTGATAACTCATTGACTAACACTGCCCTTGATTGTATGGTTTGTTTAAATGCAAAGAGAATGTTTAAATGCTTGACGTCTTGACAAAAGAAACAAATGCTATAATGTCCCATTGTCTTAGTGATTTGATTAAAAATGTCTTTGCACCGGCATCTAGGGATGTCCTGGATTATTTAATAATAATAGTAATCATGCTTGCATTTGATATAGCACCGTATCATGTTGTTGAGACATAATAATAATAATAATAATAATAATCCTTGCATCTGCTTTATCATGTCTTCGAGACTTTGCAAAGTGCTTCACAGAATGTATTGTAAAGTGAATTGAACTGTAAGTAAATAAATATAAGATAGGCAGAATTGAAACATTGGTTCAGAATATTATATTTTAAGCGGCCTGATACTGATTTACTGTTCTATTTTTGTTTATTCTTTCATCTTGACAACTAACTAGCATAAAGTTAGACAGTGCTTTCATTTTCTGAGAGCAGGAACCTTTATACCACCTATATATGTCACCTTTATACCAAAGCATTGAATGAATGCAATAATAATACTTTCACTTTGGTGGCAAACTGCAGTAAGCAGCACTCATACAAACAGCTGCAAATCTCTGCACGTAAAATACACAGTTGACAATTACACTAAGAGCTGGTCTGCCTGCATGCCGTACGGTTCAATAAAGTTTTAAAAGTCATATTTAATCACAATTTGGGAGTTGTTTCACCCATAAAATGTATCGTCAATTCACTTTACATTATATTCTGTGAAGCGCTTTGAGATACCTCGACGACGTGAGAAGGCACTATATCAAATGCAAGGCTTATTATTATACAGATCCAAGAACCTCGTGCACCATTATGTAAGCAACACTTTCTATGTTCTATTTGAAAAGAGAAGGGGGTCTCTCCCGGGGTTCTGGCCAACAATCCTCCGGATAAAATGGATCATTCACTTTATGGCTTGTGATCACATTGCTCTGTGCAAGTTGGAGTTTTTTTGCTTATAGAGTATGCAATCACTACAGAGTAAGTCCAGTGAAGACCTCTGAGATGTTTTGACAATGGGATAAGGCCGTTTACCAAATGCAAGTATTTTTCTAAAAGTTTTATTCAGGCGATTGTTTTTTATGAATATAGTACAAATGACACATGATTCTTGACCAACTAGTGACTCTCCTCCTTGGAAAGAGGTATGCAGGACTTCGTTTCCATTGCCAGGCAGCTTTGTTGGCTCCAAAGTGACGTGCCTGGCAATGGAAGTTTGGAATCGAGTTATATTGATAACAATCCAACTAGCCTGGCGTGTTAGCAGGACTTACAGGAACAGACCAAATCACAGTGAGCTAGCCACCAGCTTAATGAAGTAACAAACTTAAGAAATATTCAATGAGAAGTGAAATTCTTGTGCATTTCCTATTCGAACAAGCTATCAGTTTCTTTTCTGAAGCACAAAGTAACTGAATTAATAAGAACATTGGATTTGGAGGAATTGAATGTACTGAAGTCAGTTCCTGTCAAGCAAAGATGAGATATTCAGTTATTGGAAGGGACAATATTCTTCCATGGTGTTTTCCCATCTAAAACTATCAATTCAATGACACTTGCTCTTGTACAATAATAATCCTTGCATTAGATACAGTGCCTGTAACTTAAACTGTCTTAAAGAGTTTCACAGAGAATTATACTAACAATAATAACAAAAGCATTGTTGAGACATCTCAAATATAATAGTAAAATTCACAGAATATACTCTAAAGTAGTGTGACTGTGTGTATTCATGAGTTAAATACTACAGCATAGAAAGTCTATTACCTACATTATCTATTCCTACACATCCTGCGAAGCGCTTTGAGATTTTTCGATGATGTGAGAAGCGCTGTATCATTCAAGGATTACTATTACTGATAACTAGCCTAGCCAGTGCTTATACTCCACCTGAGCCTCCACCCCTCCAAATCCCCTTTCCTGTGCTCCTCTATTTCCTCTCCCTCTGGTATGCATCAAGTTTCCTCTTAGATGCACTTGATGAGTTACAACATAGAACAGTTTATTACCACACACTAATCTTTAATTCAAGCAGCACAACGAGGAATCTATTGCCCAGATTGCTCAATAAAGATATCTTTTACCCACAAACTGATCTGGATGGGCTAACTGACCGCCAGACTGTCAAACGCTCCGAGAAGTCATCCAGGGTGAAGGGCGCTATATAAATGCAGGTTGTTGTGGTTGTCCATTATCCACAAAATGCAAGCAGGTTGATGATCAATATATTTGATGCAAAATTGATTGGTAAAGGAGCGGAACAGGAATGCCACAGCACACAGCTTGACACTGTGGACTATTAAAGTCAAACAGAAAAAGAAGATTTACAGATGTTTGCAACTGTCGGTAACAAAACAAAACTGTTTCTTTTCTCAATCATACAACTCCGTTGAAACACCTCAAAGCTCTTCACAGGATTTTATTGCAAAGTGTAGCGACTGTCTGTTTGTAGGCGAACAGCAGGAAATACGTACAAATAGCAGCTCCAAATAAGCAATAATAAAAATACTAATCCTTGCATGTTTTATAGCATCTTTTTACTCTGGGGGTCGTCTCCCAGCGCCTCACAGGATTTACTGCAAAGTGTAGTGACTGGGTGAGAGGATTTAGGATTTAAGACAAATTTCTAACAGATTTCTGTACTTGGAAAAAATAACATAAGATCTGTGGTTCCAATAACAGTGCCGAGCCTTCAGCTTCTATTGTCCCTAACCTGAGTAACTCCTTCCCTCTACCCCTCTTTATCTGCCTTTACATGCCACCTAAAAACCTACCTCTGTGACCACTTACTCCCAATCCCTTGCTTAGCCTCCGACCCAGTCATTGTGAAGTCCGACAAGACATTATAGAGTCGATTCACTTTACAGTATGTTCTGTGAAATGCTTTGAGATGTCCAGAAAATGTGATAAGGTGTTATATCAAGTGCAAGGATTATTATTACTATTATCAAGCCGCTGAGATTTTCTAATATTTGAATTAAGAACTACAAATATAAGACTGGTTCACCAAAAGAAAATGAACTCATATTGTAATTTTATTAATATTTCAGTACAATGATAGCATTATAGGTCTAACATATATCCATTCCGCCATTCAGAGGATCATGTGCTGTAAGATATGTGTGTTGTACTTTCCTGATTTATAATTTGTGATACGGGAGTCTTTTGTTTTTTTTTAAACTATGGTTCTTTTTATTGTTACAGATAAGTTACCACTAAAGGGAATCTTTTCACCGAATAAAGCCAGTACATAGCGGAGCTGGTGAGGAACCTCAGTCCCCTGCCTGCCTCAATGTGAGGTGTATCCAATGTCCAAAGCATGGTACAGTCTGGGTTAGTTTTCTCTCTGATACATACAATGAGCTGCCAGAACCGTCCTGTGAAAGATAACATGGATTCCTCATCAGGTTTCTCCTCATCGTTCAAATCAAAGCAAAGCCGCCTTCAGGAAAGGTGAGAGCAAATGAAACCCAGAAGCCAAGGAAAGTGCTGGTTATTCTGTAATCTTTTTGACTTTTTTCTAGATTAGATGATAATAATAATGCTCGCTTTGGTAAAGTGCCGTATCACATCCTTGAGATGTCTCGAAGCGCTTGAAAGGATATACTGCAAAGTGGATTCACTGTGCAGTTTGTAGGAGAACATGGCAGCCAATTTTTACACAACAACTAGAACAACAAATTACACTGCCATAGCGCCCTTCATGTCTGAAAGACATCCCAGGACCCTGGACAATCAGAGGTTTGGGATCCAAGCTGGGAGTTTAGACGCAGGGTAGGGGGTTTGGGGGTGGGAGGGCGGCCGAAAGCTCGGTCAAAGAGGAAGGTCTTTAGACGGGACATAAAAGAGGCACGAGAGGGGGTGAGGTGGAGGGATTCCGGGATAGAGTTCCAGAGTGTGGGGGCAGAGGTGCAGAATGCCTGACCTCACAGCATAAATGGATGATGTCCCATGAAGTGAGCAATCCATTTATTTTGAGATTGTTGGCTAGGACACCGGCAGGAACTCCCTTCACATTTTGAATAGGCGTGGGATCTTTAATGTTCCATCTGAACAGTTAGACGGGACAGATGGCTCATGGTTAGAGTTGAAGGAATAAATCAAGTGGTGTAAAAGTTATAATGAAACTGAATGTGAAGATAAAGTACCAGAGCATTGTTGCACCAAATATCACGGCAATAAATTATTTGGTATAAGAACAATTTTCCCTAAAATACCAGGTGATACCAAGAAGGTTAAATGATGGACTTGAATTAATAAAGTAAACCCACAACCATAATTTCGGTCACGTGCATTGCAGCAGGAATAGAGGGCACAGGGTCAGAGATGTGAATGGCAATTGCAGGAGGTATTTAGGTAGTGATCTTGCCTCTGAATCAGAAGGCTGTAAACTCAACTCCCTGGCAAGGACTTGGAATTCATATACTGGGAAAGGTAACACCATTGGAATGGGGTACTAGGAAGGATAAATGTCACTTTGAGGACATCAATTGAGTCCAATATACTGGAATTAAAGGGAATGCTTTAAGATTTTTTTTGTTTCAGCTTACTGATGTAAATGGGGAAATTGTAGGGGTTGGTAAACAAATCCTTTCGCCATAAAGATGTGGAGATAAAGATTGTTGATCAATTGAGAGCAAAGGGCTCAGTATCAGTGTGCAATCAGACCATTTGTTTGCATTAGAAGCCCCAGCTAGCTGGAAGTCTATGAGGTCAGTTCATCAGCTATTTTCACATTCATCTCTCACTCTGGAGCAACTCCGATAGGCATTTTTGTTGTAAGTTACTTTTTGCTACCACAACACAACAAACATTTGAATTCCAATGCTTTCCAATGTTGATTGTATTCAATCCACGCCTGTTTGTGGGACACTGGCGTGCGCAAATAGCTGCCGCGTTTCGCCCACAAAATATACAGTCAATTCACTTTACAGTATATTCTGTGAAGCGCTTTGAGACGTCTCGAAGACAAGATAAGGTGTTATATGAAATGCGAGGATTATTATCATTGAATTGCACTAGCTTTTAGATGTAAAATCTTTATTACAGGAGCTGACCTACAGTGAGACAATCTTAAAATGTTTCTTCTTATTTTTTGCATTTCAAGAATGACTAACAATCCTATTGTATCTCTGTGACAACTACATGTTATCCTGGATGGTAAATTACATTGGGGCAGCTGTGTACATTACAATAACAATAATTAATCCTTACATTTCATATGGAGCCTCATTGAGGCATTGAGGCATCTCAAAGTTCTTCACAGGGGTTCATTGTTGTTTAGTCTCTGAGTAAGAGTTTTAACTTCCTTCCCAATTATTCTCTTGCTGTTATGATACTGGAAGAATATTTAGGTGTTATTTAGGTGCTCAATAAAAAAACGTTGCTGTTTATGATGCTCTAAAGACCGAGCCACAATGCCCCTTTCTGGTTCTCTCTTGATTCCTCCCTCCAGTCTGTTTTATTCAAATTCCTGGTTCTATTTAGTTTGCTTCTCACAAACAACAAGTATTTTTTTTTAAAAAAATTTCCTTTGTTTGATATTGGTCTCCTTTCAAATCGTTTTTGCTCAAAACGCAGACACTTAGCGCGATCAAACGAGTTCACAGCAAACGGATTACGAGATGCACATAGCGAGCTTTTATGGCCTTCCAACAAGCGACAATTCGTTTTGAATGGGAGTTTAATCTTGTGTCCTGTTTTGCAGTGCAAGCTTCCTTGTCGAAGCATCAAGATTTAATAAAAAGTAACATTTCCAATTTGTCCCATGCTCTACACCAAAACAGTATTATCACTTTTCGAAGATTTACAATGATTTGCAAAGAATCTTCGGCACGAAAACAGACATTCAGTTCAACCAGTCCATTCCAATGTTATACTCCTCACGAGCTTTCACCTATTCCTTACTCCCTGCACACCCTTCTATTCCCCTTTCCCCCACGTGAAGATCTAGCTTCCTCTTAAATGCATCAACACTTTGCCTTTCGTAGGAATCCAAAAGTAAGCAGATTCCTGTTTTACTTAGCCTCACTGTTTACAGGATAAACATCGTAGATTTTAATGTTTCTAGTTCCTGTAAGACTCATCTCCTCTGCAGAAACAAATCTCCTCTGCAGACCGCTGCCCAGAGCTGAAGGTTTCCATGCGTGGGTGGCACTGTGTTTTTCTCAGCGAAAAGAGTGTTGCTGTTTAAACACTGAGCTTCTGGCCTGTGCGATAGATGAATACTTGCTCCACAGATGGATTGTGACTCTGCAACTTAACTTCAGAACGGTTACTTTGCTTCTGTGCTTACTTATACCAGCATAACTCAGAGCTTCGTTGCATTGCCTTTCAGCTTCTGAGAACGTTGGCCTACAAATACACAGTTGCTGCACTTTACAGTAAATCATGTGGAGCACTTTTGAGACATCGATATACATATATATATACGAATGGCCTACTCCTGCTTCTAATTCCTACGTGATAAGGCGCTACATCAAATGCAAGGATTCTTATTGCCTTATTAATATTTGTCAGATGTTGCGAGAGATGTTTAATTTTCAGTTTGTCTGTGATAAAATGAACATATCAGTGATTGTATCACTCTCCTGGTATCCTGGCTAACAATCCTCGAGATAAAAATGGATCACTCACTTCAGGGCTATTTGGGGGACATTGCTGTATGCAAATTGTCCATCCGGTTTCCCTATATAAAATTCATGGTAAAATCTTGTGAAGTGCTTTGAGACATTTCAATGACATGATAAGATATTATATCAAATGCAAGGATTATCACATTATCACTGTATCACTAACAATACCAATTGAGGTTGAATATTAAAGTAATATTTTCTAAACTGAAATAAATGTTAATGGGGCATTTTCAAGTGGCAGCGGAGTGTGTGGCTTAAAATGTTTAGAAGAAAACTTGGTTTATTTCAATTACAGAAGTGGAATTCCTTAACTTAAAGTTTAACTCTTCAGGATCGAGATCTTCAATATCAATATTTTCTGTAATATCCTGAAAGTCACGGCAAGTGTTTTGAAAAGTGATAGGTTAAAAACCGACACTTACGTGCTCACATTATCAGTCGGTATTTGTTTTTTTATTTTTAATCATCTTATTCCAACCACTGCAACCACGAGAGCTAACAGCAAACATCGTTCAACCACCCCCGCACAGCAAGACCAGCATAAACCTGTACACCACAAAGCAGGATGGTGCAAAGTATGCGTGCACATGACTCTGCAAATTCTAGACTGATCTTGTTTTCACAAGAAAGGTTTCAATGAAGAAGGCCTATCAGCCCAGCTGATCTCTTCCTTCCATTATATCCACTCTCCTAACCTCCCATCAGTGGGGGTTCCTGTAGCTCTGTGGGTTAGAGCACTCGCCTCGCAAGGAAGAGACTTGTGTTCAATCCCCAGCAGGGTGAATTTTTGGGCAAGTTTCCTTACCCCGCACGCCTCTGTTTACCTAGCAGGAAGTAGGAACCCGGTTGTTACTCGATTAGTGGATCGTTTTTCCGGGGGTAATAATTTCTTCAAAAACCAAAAAAAATTGGTCACTTCAACCCACGACAGATTGTGGGACACTGCTGTGCGCAGTTGCCTGCTGCATTTCACCCACAATAATATACATTATTAATAATATTCACAGCATATTCTGTGAAGCATTTTAACACGTCTCAAAGAAGTGATAAGGCACTATATCAAATGTAAGGATTGTAATTATTATTATTATTATTATTATCAAAAAACAAGCTGTCTCTTTATACAAGTCCAGTTTGCTGTCCTGGTAACCCATTCCGGATTCCAGTTGTTAATTACCCTCTATCCTTCAATGAAAACAGTTTGATGCTGTGATGGGAATATAGTAGAGTGGTTGGTTATTCTGGAAGGATGAGATCAAATTGCCTGTGAAGGTGCATTCAGTCTAGAGTAGCTGATGTAATTGAGATAAAGTATGGAAACGTACAAAAAATAAAACGAATGACATAAAGCAATTGAGATGACGAATTACTGTTGTGTAAAAATGACAATGAAAGTAATACATACAGAAAATTGGACCCAAAGGCCATTGTGTGGACTTAAAGCAAATATCACCGATGAAAACTGAGCTGACACATTGGTTTGGGGAATGTGTTATTTTAGAGAACAAAGGTCAATAGTGATACACTTCATGATTCTAAAGCTCATTTAGATCTGCCAATCGACTAACTTACATCCAATCTGTTGCACTGGGCGCTGCAAGCTATAATAATATAATAAACCTTGCATTTGATATAACGCCTAATCAAAGTTCAAAGCTCTCCACAGGGTATACTCTAAAGTGGGGTGACTGTAAATTCTGTGGGCAAACACGGCAGCCAATTGACGCAAGTCCATGACTTGGGGCTCGAACCCACAACCTTCTGACTCAGAGGCGAGAGGGCTACCAACTGAGCCAAGCTGACTGGAATATGACTGAA